CTAATCATCATAGATATTCTCTGTGGAAGCAAGTCTTCGCTGCATGTGGGGGGGGATTCGATACAGAGCATCCATGTTTGGGTTGGGCATTTTTGAAACCTGAGACGCATTCTCAATGTCTTCATATTCATGAACGTACATGTAGTCGCGAGTACCAAAACCATCGTTAACAGGCTTTACCCTAGGGAATGGAGGTGGAGCAACATAGACACTAGTGGTGGTAGTTCTAGGGTTTGGAGCAGTCTTCACATTGCTGGCTTTGCGCTGCTGTCGTTGGTACTGCAGGTACATGAAGATTACCAAACACAGAAACACAAAGCCAAAGGTGCAGGTCGTAATGATGAGGAACTTGCTCATTTCGTCAATGGCTGGTATTGAGATACCTGCAAGGAGAAAACAATTTACAGTGCTATTGATGAAGAATTGATTTTCAAGAGAATAAAATGAGAAATTAATTTATAATCACTTCTAACAAAAAAAATTTAAAAAAGAAAAAACAGGCAAAACAATAAGTTCTTCAAATTATCTTTAAACATTGTAGATATTAAATGTTATCAAAATTAAATTAAATAGAAAAAGTAAATTATATTAAGGTAACTTTTGGGCTGATTTAAACTTGTTTCTTTTATCTTAGACTTCCCATTTCTTTATCTTATTCCTTTGTTCTAATATTCCCAGATCTTTATTTTATTTCATTATCTTAGCATTCCTGGTTCTTTATCTTATTCATTTGTCTTAGCATTCCTAAATCTTTATTTTATTTCTTTATCCTAGCATTCTCAATTTTTATATTATCCCTTTGTCTTAATATTCCCAGTTCTTATTTCTTCACTTATTCCCTTATCTTAGCATTCCCTGTTCTATATCTTATTCATTTGTCTTAGCATTCAGTTTTTTATTTTATGTAGTTATCTTATTCCTTTATCTTAGAATTTCCAGTTTTTCACCTTATTCCATTGTCTTAGGATTCCCTGTTTTTTATTATTCCCTTATCTTAGCATTCCCAGTTCTTTCTTTTTCTGACCTTTATCTTAGCATTCCCAGTTCTTTCTTTTTCTGACCTTTATCTTAGCATTCCCAGTTCTTTCTTTTTCTGACCTTTATCTTAGCATTCCCAGTTCTTCCTTTTTCTGACCTTTATCTTAGCATTCCCAGTTCTTTATCTCATCCCTTTATCTTAACATTCATAATTCTTCCCTTTTCTGACATTTATCTTAGCATTTTAGTTCTTATCTTTTCTTTTTTTCTCATCTAATGATCGGATATTAGATTTCAAATTAAAGAGTTTCTTTATGAAATGTTCCCCATAAAATTAATCTTCATTTTTGCTGCTCATGGTAAAATTAGTTGTTTTCATACATAAAACATTTGTTGACCAAGCAGTTAATATTACTTGAATTACTTAATTGAAATTTATAAAATCAGTCCTTTGTTTCTATAATATACTAATTAAGCTAAATATAATATAATGCAAATGAATCAATATAAATAAAGATATAAAAATGTGAATATATTTTTTCTCAAGGATTTTGCATTCAGTGAAACTTTATTTTAGGTTGATGCAAAGTTTCCAGAATTTTTACAAAAGTCATATAAATTCATAGCATTATTATTCAGTCATTAAAATAGTTTTGTAAGCTCTTTATGACCTTCTTCCAACTTTCAGCTAAATTGTATCTTCTGTTATAAAACTAAAATGATGGTAATGGCAATGGTGGGATTAAGATACAGGAAACATTTGACATTCATTGATCTAAAAATTAGTGCTGGTGCTGATTAAAATTTATAAAATCTTTTTCTTAAAGCAGTTTCTCAAGTCCACTAAATGTTACAATTAATAAAATGTTAATATTGAGGGCAGCTTTCTTCCAAAATTTTTGTTTTTGCCACTGTAGAAAGTTAACATCTTTATTTCCTCTTCTAGTTAAAGATGTTCTCCATTTTTGTTGTTATTGCTGCTCAAAGTGTCCAAGTGATGTACTTTTTGTTATTTCCTAAAGCTTTTTATTTATGATTTTGTAATGCCAGTGTATAAAGGATTGTTTTCTTTAAGATTTTTATTTTTTTTATTTATAAGAATTTCCCCCCAAGCAAGGCGGAAGTGCAACTAGTATAGAAGGGGCTACAGAGAGTGAAAGTGAGGGAAAAGACTGGATATGGGGGGGGGGAGAAAAGTATAAAAAGAAGAATGGTTATCAAGGCATCAGCAGATGTTGATAGACATTACATTTAAGTTTTTGAAGATTATAGTTATCAGAGAAGCAGGTAAGAGGAAGGGAGTTCCACTTTCAGGAAGTGTGAAAGAAGAAGCTGTTAGAGTAGAAGAGGCAGTTGCATTTAACTGTTTTGGCAGTAAAATGTTGGTACTGAGATGCCAACCTAGTAGCACGCTTAAATTCATGCAGTCGGGGCACCAGTGAAAATAGCTTGTCAGAGCAGATGCTATGAAAAAATATTTGTAGAAAAGACAAAGGAAAGCCACAACACATCTGTGAGAAAGTGACAGGAGTTGAGATGCCAAGTCAGGACCAATCACATTGCATATCTGTCTTTGGATTTTGTCAAGAACCTCAAGATGAACAGTGGGGGCACTAGAGCATATATGGCAATAGTATTCCATGCATGGATAAATGGTACATTTATAGATGTCAAGGATGGATTCAGATGAGAAAAACCTTCTGGTCTGACACAGAGAACCAACTTTCCTTGCAGTAGATGCAGCTTTTGATTCAATGTAGTTGTTCCACCTCAGGTCAGTGGAAAACATGAGACCAAGACGATGCAGTCAGATGCTTTCATGAAGTTGAGCATCAACCATGCTGAGAGGAGGCTGGGAATTTCCTCTATGGTGAGTAAATGAGAGCAGTTTCATTTTTGATGCATTAAAATTTACAAGCCCCAGTCAACCAGAGATTGGAGGTCCTTTTCAAGACTAATGGCCAGGTTAACTTTGTCAGCAATGCAGGATTTACTATTGAGACAGGAATAAATGGTAGTGTTATCTGTGTAGATGCCTACTTGAGAACTGATGACATCAGGAAGATCATTGATGAAGATCAGAAACAATGTAGGATCCAGGATAGAGCCTTAGGGAACATCAGCATCCATATGAAAAGAACTAGAGGAGAACCTATTTATGACGGCCTTCATTTCACGGTTTGACATGAATGATTGGATTAAATCAAATAATCCTCCTATTTTACTGTATCTCTGAAGCTTATGTAGAAGGCTGCCATGCCAAAGCCTGTCAAATGCCTTTGATATATCTAGAGCCACAGCTTGAGCTTCACCGTTATTATTGAAAGCTTGGTATACATATTCTGTTATGGCTGTAAGCACATCAGTGGTGGACCAGGTAAAGCAGAAACCATATTGTTAGTCAGTTAGTAGATCATGAGAGGTAAGATGCTTAACTACTTTGACATTGATTAAAGCCTCAAAGATTTTGCCAAAGAGTGGTAGGAGACTGATAGGATGGTAGTTAGATGGGTCAGGAGGGTGTCCAGAGGTCTTAAAAACAGGGATGTCAGAGGAGAACTTCCAACAGGCTGGAAAACAAGAATCAGTGAGGGAATAGTTGTAGAGTTTGGAGAGAACTGAAGCCAACACAGGAGCAGATTTCTTTAGGACTATGGCTGGTATCTCATCACCAACACTTGCTTTATGAAAGTCTAATTTAGAGATGATGTCCAATACCATCAATGAGGTTATGCACATCTCACTCAACAGAGCTTCAGTTCTAGAGGGAAAATCAGGTGTGTCAAGTGTTGAGTTGGATGAGAATTTCCAATCAAAGCATTCAACCTTATCAACTGCGGATGTTAGGACTTTGAACTGATTAAATAAAGGAGGAATTGAGGATTTGCTGTTGTTCAGCACACTCTTGCAGTGCCGCTAATAATCTTTAGAACAAAACTTGCGTGATGCAATACATTGTTTCATCCTATCAGCAAACAGTAACTTTGCTTCATTGAAATAGTAGCAGTTGGTCATCATATGTGACATGAGTAGAGAGGAACTAGCACAGACTACAACGTAGCTTCAGGGTTGCCCACTAGAGGTTCATGCAGGAACACCCATCCATGCATGACATGGCACTGCAAGAGATCCCAATATTATAAAACTGTTGATCAGAGCAGCCTCTCAAGATGCTACACAAGAGTTTGGACTCCTAGCTACCAGTTGGGAACAGCCTTCAGAAAACTGCCAACCTGATACCTTCAGCATGAAGAGATGTTACCACAAACTGCACACATCACAAGAGATTCATGACAGCACTAAGGCCAGAGAAAAGGAAAGCATCCAGGAACCCCTTCCTAAACAGGAAACAAATGATGAGCCTCTACTCCTGTTCAAGAGAAGTGGGAGGAGTATTGACCAGGTGATATGAAAGCCTATCTACTCCTATTAAAAAAAAAAAAAAACAAAACAAACAACAGGCTTGACATCCAGAAATAATATTACAAAGAACGAGTTTCAATCAGAAAACTCAACTGGTGAGCCAAGCTGGGAGCCACAGCATGAGTTATGTATGTATAGATAAATTGCTCATGATCTAGAAGGCTAAAAGATAGATTGGGAAGAAAGGGTTAAGGGAGATGCCTGTGCATTCACTACAACCACCCATATGTACTGTTATACATGGATACAGGAGAAGCATATGAGTTGGAGAGGAATATTGATAGGGAATTTGAAACTGAAATATAAATATAAAGTTTTAATTTAGTTTAAGTGCAACATTCACTTCTTGTTGAGGAGAACACTCCAACATCCATGAGCCACAATTAAAAATAACGTCCAATACTTGTATGAACCAGAAAAATCACCAGTAACTTAATATTCATAGTTTTCAAAGAGGGAAAAGAGGATAAAATAAATTCAATTCAATTAAAAAAAAAGTAAGGAAAAGTTAGTACCAAGGAAAACATATATATATACTTTAGGGAGAGAGAAAGAGGGAGTAAGAGTAAATAAAATAAAATGATTAGAGAATGAAATTCTAAGAGATATCTACAAGCATGACAGGCAACAATATTATTTTTCGTGTGGTTGCTTAGACGAAAGTTTAAACAAGGAGTGACTTTTTTTTGCTGATAAATGGTTAGTTAGTAGGATCAAATTCAAGTCCATCAGGCTGAAAGAGTGGGCTGGGGAAGTGTTAAGACAGCCATTTGCCAACATTCACTTCTTGTTTTAGAGGATTAAATCATTTGAAGCCATTTTTAATGATTGATGTGAGAAACTCTGTATATAGATGGTAATCTAGATATCAATGAGTTAGATGCCAAGAAAATGACTCAAGTTTTCACATGCATATATTGGTTTTGTAGTATCTGACAGAGTTGGAGAAATGTGCCCCCAGCACTACCTAACTTGTGTTCAACTTTATCTCTATGCTAGATTTGTTATAACTGATCTAGACACTGAGGTAATTAAAATATTCAGAATTTATGAATTCAACATTCTGAATTTTTATTATGGACTTAGGGCCAGTGTTACCACTAATCTTATTCCAATTCCATATCATAGATTCTCTTTTTAACTCTTGGAAGACTTAGTATTGAATGGTGATCTTTCAATTAAGAACATTTTTATGCCAAACATCTAAATCTACCATTCATGATGGATCTGTAATGTAATCAATCCTGACCTGGCATCTCAACATCAGTCACTTTCCCGCTGACATAACATGGCTTCCCTCTGTCTTTTCTACAAACATTTTTATGGCAATTGTTCTGATGAGCTGTTCTTCTTAGTACCTCAAATGTATGAATTTAAAAATGCAACTACTTTGACAACTATTTTACTGCTGAACTAACCTGATGAAACTGTTTTAATAGTTTCTTTTCTTGCCTGTGAAATTCCCTTCTGATTTTTTCACCTACAATCTTAAAAAAATTAAATGCAATATCAATCGCCATCTGTCTTTCTAAATCATATTCTTTTATTGTCCTTTTCCTTACTTCTTATCACTAAAGTCTTCTTATTCTTGTTCACTTCCTGTAACCCCCTGCATCCTAGTGGCATTATTGCCTTGCTTGGGGTGAAACAGTTAAAAAGAAAATCCTATATATATTTCTGTGATAGAAAATATAAGTATTTACTTTTTTTCTCTTATGTATTGTATTGTTGAAAGTTTTCAAGAGGAAAATGAACCTTATAAAATATGAAGGCTAAGTTTTTACTTACAGTAAGAAAGGCCGATGGCACCCTCTTCAGCACTGACACCATCAGGGCACATTTTACAGATGGTCTGACCAGATTCTTCTTGGTAGAAACCGACTCTACAGAAAGTACATTTCTGGGACGTGACATTCAGCATTGAACCAGGAGGGCAGGGAACTGAAAAACAAAAAGTAAAAGATGCATATCACTTTTAAGAAATAGTCAAAAGTCAGAGTTTACATCAGTCAAAATCTTGTAATGAAATGCAACAAAAATAAAAAAAAAAATTGGTAGGCATACTTGTTAATTCAAACTGAAAGATGCGCACTTCATGAAATGATTAGAACTTTTTTGGAGTTTGAAATTTGAATAGTTTTGGTAAAGATTAACTTAGGATCAGGCAAAAAAAAATCGGTATGTCAGAAAGATATTTCTCTCTTAGTACTATTATTACCAGATAAACCCTTGATAATTTTTATTGATTTAAGCTATTTCTAGAAGTTATAAAAAATACAACATATGAAACTGTATTTATATTTTCTTTTCTTGAGAACTGGCAACAAAAATGTTAAACTCTGTTATTAAATTGTTTATTAACAGAATTATAAAAGAGGTATGTGAGAACAATAGTAATGTAAAAATATTCTTATAGATATGGCAGTGTTCATGGCTCATACTGCTAAGGGTTTGTTTTTGATTTTTATGATCAGAGCCTTTATTATTTGTAGATGTTTTCTACAAATAGAAGTGTGTATTATATTTGTGTTTTTGATTAGTATGTTGCATATCAAAGTTGGTAAGTTAAAACTTACCAACTTTGATATGCAACAAAACACAAGAAAAAAACCAAAAGATGAAACTTGTCAATCATTTTATTGAAACATGTATTTAAAGAGGAATGGCAGTCAAAATACACACACACACACACACACACACACACACACACACACACACACACACACACATATATATATATATAGTACAGGTAATAAATCCATTGGTATATAATCCAAGTGGATCCTAATAATATAAAATATTAAAATTGATCCACAAAAAGAGCTCAATGTATTTATTATAACAGAGCATATAAATTATGTAACAGAGAAATCTAAATTTGGATTTCTCTGTCATGTAAATTTATATATATATATATATATATATATATATATATATATATATATACACACACACACACACACACACACAATCTTTCAAATTTAACATATTTGGACGGCAATTGTTCTTTTAAACATCCATTAAAAAATAGACATTTTGTGTTTATTAAATTTAAAGATCAATTTTTAAGATATATGAATATCCTTTTGTAAAGGTGATTGTTGGGTGTAGATTAATTGGCCAAAGTTCATATTATATAGTCCCAAGCCTTTTGATTTGCATTGGATAGCAAGGGGGTGAGTTTTCTTTTTTCACTTTTTCTCACTCTCCCCACAAGTGATGACACATCTGAGTTAAAAGGTTGGGACTATACAACATGATTTTGACCAATTTATCCACACACAACAATCACATTTGTAAAAGGATATTCATACATTAGAAAAAAGAACATTAAATTTAACAGACACAAGATGTCTATTGTTTTTAACACTGAACTCTGTTTATTATATATGATTATTATTTTTATTATTATTATTAATATTATTATTATTATTATTATTGTTTTACCTTTGCTTTGTGTATATGACTTGCCCTCAAGTCTCAACCAGAGAATTCTGTATCAGAAGAAGCAAACAGAAGAGGTGCCATGCAATCATGAAGGAAAAATATATAATTAGGGTAAATGCAGAGAGAGAAATCTATGCAAAATTTAAGTATGATAATTTAGATCCACATATTTGTTTTCTTTTGATATCATTCGCAAAGACCCAATAACAACAGGCAATGTTGTCATCTTGAGTTACCTCATTTCTACAAAGGTCCTTGTATTTACTTAGATCATCATCATCATCATCATCATCATCATCATCATCATCATCATCACCACCACCTGTATGTAATATAACAACAAATAAATGTTCAACTTATCTGCTTTTAAAGACATTATATTTACTTACTGCAATAATCTTTCTGAATCATCTCTCCAGTCTTACACATCCAATTTGGAGGGCTGACCTTAACACTTCCAGGAACTGAGTTGTACTGCTGGTCCTCGACATTGATAAATAGAAGTTCTGCTACTTTGGAAAGCTCCTGTTCAATGGCTGTCAGGATGTCATTAATGAATGATTTTGCCAAACGATCACTGCAATAGAAAAGCAAATGAATATAAAATTAATTTTCCAGAATTCCATTTCATATCACTCATCTATGGCAGATGTTTTATCACTTGAATTATATACTATAGAGCCATTTGATTTTCATATTCTATGGCAAATCTATGAACAATACATTGAAATAATATATATAATAGTCTTATTTTGTGAATAAGATTTGCATTACTGTATTTTGCAGAGTTTGGGAAAAAATGCTAGTCATATTTGAAAGATTTTTATTAACAAAAATTAAATCTGATAATTTAAAAATTAATTTATACTGTTCTAAATGCAAAAAAGCTCAAAACATCAAAATAAGAAAACATCTTAAATCTTTTTGAATAATTAATCAAACTGAATTAGAATTTAGCTGTGTATGACAATCTCTTTTCTTTAGACATTAAAAGGGTGAAAAAAACTAGTGTGAAAAATGAAGAAAGAAACTATTTTGCTTCCTACGTTTAAGATATAGTACTTCAGCTTTCAATGATGCATCCAACTTGACAGTAAGTACTTGCTCAACTGCCAAGTACCTAATGAAAATTGAAATAGCAATTAGATGAGTACCAATGCAATTGCATTAAGCACTCTGATTGGTCAAGTGCGTTGCACATTTGAACTCTTTACTATTGTTATAAATAACACTTTTAAATGAACTAAAATTATGCATGTTTATTTAAATATATTTACACATGGCTTGTGGATGATTTTAAAGCTAGATGGAGGTAGCATAAGTGCTCTTTCAACAATATAAATAAAAGAAACCAGACTTCCCTATCTAAATATTTTTGGCATCTGAAGGAAATAAATAGGACACCTAAAGTAAAATGGAAAATTATAAACAGGACTAGAACATGTAAAACTTGGGATGACCCATGCCCTTTGTGCCTCCATGAGAAGCTGCATATTATTAAGTTTCTAAATAATAATAATCTATTAAACAATAGACATGAGTTAATGATTTTCTGTCGACATCATCAAATCTATGGTTTGAATGATTAGCTAAAAACAAGCATACAATATAATAACTTTTATAATCCATAGCCAAAATAAATAGTTTAAATACCCTACAAAAAGATAACCCTTTATGAAGTCGTCAAAAAACAAAAGTTACGGCAGTTTTTATATGCACGAATCCCTTTCATAAAGAAATTAAATAAAAACATAAATAAATCTCCATAGGCACGTAAGCCAGACTAGGCTAAAACATCTTCCGTTTCAAATTTAGACACCCCCACCTTTCCCTGACTTGACATCTATGAAAGTAACTCTATACTGATACTTATTATTAACACCCAACACACGCCTACCCAACTTAAACAATTCGCCCTAGCTGTTACCATGGAAATTTTGATTTCAATTATTAAAACACGTAAGTTATTCCAAAAAAAATTTCGCTTGAAGATGGAACAGAGCTTTCTTTAACTCAATTTAATTCAAATAATTATATTGAAGTTTTCGGCTCTTGTTTTGAAACATGAGACCTCTTATGTCGCGAGTTGGAATCATATTTTTAAATAAATAAATAAATATATATATATATATATATATATAATTCATACCTTAGGTGTATCTTGTAGTAAAAAAGTATGTCTTGAAATATGTGGTATTTTCTGGAAACTGTATATCTTAGTAGTATAAAAGTCTCTCTGAGAACAAAGCATGTTTGTCATTTTCGGGTCATACCATGAATTATTATATCATTGGTATAACAGGGGAAATACAAATGGGAAAATAAACCTTTTTTTCCATAGCTCTTCCCTGTTACACCGCCTTGCTTGGGGTGAAATGATTACAAAAATATATATATTATACCAATTCAAATTGTATTTGATGATGGCTCACCACAAGTTTCTTTTCTTTAGTATTTATGAATTATGTGACTGCTCCACAATAGTAGAAAAAAGTTTTTCTCTATGGTTTTGAATTCTGACTTGACAGAATCAGGCTATTATTTGTATTATCCTATTAATATCTATTGATGCATATTCATTTGGTTCACACTCTACTGTTATATGATGCCTGTATTAAAAAATCTATCAAACATAAACCAGTAATCAAAGTTAGTGTGTGTTCTTTATACGTTTGTTTTGCCCTATATGTCTAATCCTTTTATTTATTCATGCAATATCGCCTTTAAATTTTCTTTGAATATTCCTAGGTCATCATCTGGAGACAGAAACCAAACTACAGCCTCTTATTTCCAAACACCATTTTCCTTCCTTTTTTTGCTTATTAAGTCTAATCATATTCAACTTAAAACTTTGTGGTAATTATCATCACCATCATACATACAAGTCATGCGACAAGCATTCATTGGTTAATCTCCTCAAAACTAGCTCGCTGATTGGTCAATTCCGACCAATCAGATATCCTGCATGTGAGGAATGAAATAGTTTGAGCCAGTCACATGATACACCACCTTATATAAGCAAAACATGTGTAAGCTCTCTCTGTTTTCTTTTCTTTCATCTTATTCCTTGCTGCCACGATGTAATCTTCAAGACCTCCCATCTTGACCGTGCGGTCAAACGTTAAAGAACATTACCAATTCACACAAGTATGAACTCTTAACTCTTCTGAACTCTTACCAACTTTACCAATTCACATTTCTTAACATGCAACAGGAACTTTATTCTTCTAAAACTTCAGTTTAATAATTACTTCATCTTTATGAGATCTAGTACAAATATTTCCAAATCTAAAAGACATAACTCATTCAAACCTTCAGCTTATATGCATGTACACCAAAAACACTAATAAATTCAATTGTTATGTTTTGAACCATTACGTTCTGTCTTGTATCTTATACTATGTGCTATTTTACATCAAATATAAATTGCATTGTGACCGCTACATGTTTGGTAACCTCCAGCATCTTTGCTTGTCGTTTTCCACGTCATTCCCAGTCAAAGATAAATAATCACTATTCTTTTTATACTAAATCTACTCACTGCTTTTGTAATCTCAGAGACTTTAAGAGCCATTTACTGCTTCTTTGATCTTTCTCAAGGTAAAGATCTCTCTGTTTCCCTTTCTGTCTCTAAAGGATCATAATGATTATTTATTTTCAAAAGATAATGCTTGTAAATATCAAAACACCAATGATTTTCGTTTTTTTTTAAATTTACAGATTTGTGCTGATTTTTATGTGGAGAAAATAACTTTAGAGTGCATAATCAGAAATGTCAAAAAGAGTTAGACATATTTTGGTGCCTCAATTTGTGTATGAGGGGGGAGGGGGTTAAGAAAAGAAAAAAAATAGAAATTGAAAGAAAGGGATGAGACAACATTTTAAAAAAAAGTGTGTGAAGTCATTTACAGAAAACAGAAAAATCATTTAAAAAAAATTGGCTAATAACTAATCTCAGGTATCCAACCATATAGTAATAATTAATGAGCAAGCGTCACAGGTCATTACTATCTTATATTGAGTTAGATTATGACTAGGTACCTCAAACTTCTTTCTTTGTACTAAATTAAGCTGAGAGGCACATCACTGTAGAGTCATGCTTAGCTAGCTTGTCCCAAAGACCACTGCTATTATAATAAATTTGATTCTCATTGTGTGTTCCATACTTGTCTTTTCATGTTGTACTGCACTATGCTAGGCTCAGAAAATAAGATAATTATCTGTTCTTTCTTCCTCTTGCACTAATACCTCCATCATTGCAATAAAGAGGGGTACCATGCACTAATGTGATAGTGGTCACAAGGACTGGATAGTTTTGGGCTTTAACCCATATGCATGTGTATGGGCAAAGAACATTAAAAAACAGCATTGTTTGGTGTCAACAACATTCTGGATAGATACTCTCAAGTGGGATTATCCATAATTGTTGAAATCTATCATCTCTTTGCTTTACAGACGGCTTCAGGTGGCTGAGTTTAGAATTCAGTGCTGTCCTTCTCTTACACTGGTTGCTGGGGGTAGAATGGACAGTTTAATACCTTTCCCAAAGGGTATTTGCACAAAAGTGGGTGTAATTTGACTGAGACTCAAAACTTGTTCCAAGACACTAGTCATTATACTAACTGCATATCAATGTGATTATATTAACCAGTTATTATTTCTCTCTTCATCATCATCATCATCTTGCTATTGAATGTGAATTAGAATAAATATAAAGGATTATTGAGAGAAAAAGTAAAAACTTTAACTTACTCATTACTGATGGTCACATTCCACATGACGGTGAAGTAATCTGAGCGTCGATATCTATGGTTATCAGTTGATGGTCCACAAAAAATTGTCAGGTTGCTGAACTCACACTTTACATCCCAACAGTGATTCCGAGCCTCTAGATACTGGGTGACAGCTGCAGAAAGTTTGGAGTAAAGGAGGGGGTTATTTTGCTCGCATGGACCCTGGAACTGGATCTCAAATTCCTGTTGTACTTTGTAAGGATGATGATTCCCTTGAAAAACAGAAAAATTAAATAAAGAAAAAATATAAATAAAAAACATTGCATTGACTTGATTTCACTTTGAAAAATTTTAAATTGAAACAAGAATATTTGTTCTTACTATAGTGTGATGCTTAACAAGCATGTCTTACATTTTATGGTAATGGTAATATTAGCTCTTTTCCCTACAAGAAAACATTTTGACATTCATTGGTCCAAGCAACCAGTACTGTCTTTGGTTTAAATTTTTTAAAATCTTTTTCTTAAAATGCTTTTTTAGAAAAACAGGTTTCTCAAGTCTAGTAGTTGTTATCACTCTTTCTGGTATTGATGTTTTTTTTTTTCCTTAAAGTGGTGTGAAATGTTAACATCTTCATTATTTTATCTTCAAGTTACATGTATTATCTATTCTACTCCAAAATTATGGAAACTTAGCAGACTCATTTGATTTTACTGAATAGCAAACTTCACCATAAGTTTTGAGTCAAGATTTCAAATATATTTCAGTAAATGTATAATTTTCTCTAATATGCTACAGTGAAGGCAGCCATATTTGTTTCCCCCTCAAACTCCTTAACTATAAAAGAAATGGTCAAAACTCACTTATGGGCAGTAGTCAAATTTCATTGAATAAAACTTCATTACAAGCTTAAACATTTGTCCGTTTTCCTTTACAAATGCCTTAATACAAATATGCACAGAATTACCATTCTTAAAAAAATTCCGACACTTTTTGATTAAAGCAGATTCAGTTGAAAATACAAAACTTGGAAGATATTTGAAATCATATAAGATTTGTTAATCTCTAGAGCTGTCAGTATTCTTCCATTTTTCTGGTGGAAAGATGATTTTTTTTAATTTTGTCTTTTTAATTTCATATATATGATGCCCATGGGTTGAAAGATGTATTCACTTCCTTGACATTTAATGTACAGTTTTTAGAAATTGGTTGACAGAACTTACTTTTACCTGGTACTTATGGCAGATTTTATGAAAAGATTTTTAGGTGGTGTCTAATTTAAATATCCTGCATCATACTGTTTTTATTTTATTATATCTACCTCCATGAGTGTATCTGATATATATACACAGACAAACAAATATCAAGAAAAATAGGTGATAAATTGTTTTCCCATTTTATTTTTAGTACACATAAGATTTTATTCAAAGCCAAAGTTTCATATTCTTTATATCATGACTTTGTGCAAATTTATAGAAATATAGTTTCTATAAAATTTCTGTAATACAGGCATGGCACCATAATATAAAAGTCAGTGAGCTAAATCTGATATTAAAACTATAGGGAAGGTGTAATGGGATTAGTCTAGTTAATAGGTAATTAGCATAAAGAGAGTTATAACGATAGCTCTTGAGCAACTTTGAGGCATTTTACGTAGGATATCTACAGCTATTAATTTGATCATCATAACAGGAGGGCTTTTTTTTTTTAGATCTATTCTCCTACTGTAAAAGTTTTTTTTTAATTTTTCCCCAAATGATAAATTTTAGAAGCAAATGTTTCAGAAAAAAAAAAAATTGAAATTGAAATGTTCTGATTTATTTTGAAAATTAATGACAGTAATGATTTTAGGTAAACCAGAAAGAGTGATACAAATGCAGAAGGACATGTATCTGTATTTCATAGACTATGCAAAGGCCTTCAACAAGGATCTGCTAGAACTGTTCAGCAACCTTGATATATTTGGGAAAGATATCAGAATAATCAAGAACCTACACTGGCAGCATGTATGCGCACAGAGAACGAGTTCAATGAATATACAAAAAAAGAAAGGACCTGCTCAACCTACATAGCAAGGCAATTCTGAGAGAATTGGAAACCCTACCAGGATTTAGCAATGCCAGCCACAATCTTAATAATATAAGATATGCAGATGACACAGTACTGATAGCAGACAAGAAAAAGAAATTACAAAATCTCCTACAGAAGGTAGTGACAAAGAGTTTGAAGAAGGGACTAAGCATAAACTGCAGGAAAACAGAATGCATGGTCATCAGTAAAAGAATGAGCCTGAAATGTGACTTGCAGGTTGGAAACACCGGAATCAAGTGGACTCAGAAGTTTAAATATCTGGGAAGCGTTCTGACAGAGGACGGTAAATGTGACACAGGAGGATTTCTTTGGTAATGAAGAAATGAATACTGAGCTGTTATGTAACATCTGTCCTTCTTTATGGAAGTGAATGTTGGATGATTTCCTCAAAGATGAAGAAGAGACTCAAGGTGACAGAGATATGGTTCTACAGAAGGATGCTAATGATATGGATTGAGCGTGTGAGCAACAATGAGATCATAGAGAGGATGCAAAGAAGGAGGAGGCTTATACTTAACATCAGGAAGAGGCAGCTGAAGTTCCTGGTACAAATAATGAGGAAGAAGGGCCTGGAGAATCTGATACTCATGGGTCAAATAGAGGGAAAGAGAGAAGAGAAAACCACAGATGATATACCTAGCGGCCTTAAGCAAGTAGATAACAAAACATGGTCCAGGTGAGGTGGCAGAGAGAAGGAACTTGTTGAGAGCTGCAAGGGATAGAAGGAGTGGAGAGCCATGATCGCCTATGTCCTGAAAGGACATGGCACATAGAAAGAAAAAGAATATAGCTTGGTTCAATGGCATTGTCAAATAGTGAGACCATGAGGAAAACTTTAGTCTTCGATTTTGTTTTCAGCTCCAGCAAATAGTGAGGAGGCTGAACACACCCAAATTTCTCTATAGCACCATGCACATAAAAAAAACATGTATATAATTTTAACATTTGTTTATTGTTGCTATCATTTTTTTAGTAATGACTAGCAAGCTAGATTGGCAGATCATTAGCTAGTGTCATGTGATCATTTATTATTGTGGCTTTTTTAATAACTATTGGAAAAATTACCAAAATTCCCCAAAACAAACTGTTAGTTAATTTTTAAAAATGTTTTAGTAGATATTATGCGTGAAAAAGCAAAAAAAAAAAAGATGATAAAAAAACATTTATATTTTCTTCCAATTTTTGTGATCTGTGTGAAGGAAGTGTAAATCTGCTGAAATGTGTCTATATGACTGCAATATTTATTCCAAAACTAATGAGGTACAATAAGGACAAGGGAGATAACTTAAAAATAAAACAGTGATTATAAGCAAAGAATATAAATCTTAATATGAGACTTTCATAACTAATAATGGACACTTGAAGAAAACCTTATACAACTTCTTAAAGTTCATTAATCCCATTCTTTGGGATCTTTGCTTTTCATTTCAATCAGAGAATTTCCTGATGGTAATTATATGACAGTGGAGATGATTGACTTAAGTGGTGTCATTCCTGTCTTGAGAGGAAATGGAATTCTATGTTTCTTTTGTACAGATACAAAATCATCTGCCTTAATCAATGAATAAAGACACCGGATTAAAGTGTCAGCCAACTAATACAAGATTAATATGCAGGCATACAGATTAGTAGACCTTCTTTCATAACAAACTTTTACAGACTGACAACATAGATTTCAATGACTGGTCCCTATCATTTTCTCCAGAAATATTAATTAGTTTCATTTCCTGCCTCACATCTGATGGATATTTTTCTTTTACTAAAGTTCACCAAATCGAAGGCTCGAGAGCCACTTGGGTTACTGAATGAGTGAATGTGATATGAATGTATGAGGAAGTAGTAACAAGTGAGGATAAGAAGGATAGAAAACAATTGACCTTTGACTCAAAAAGGTTAAGATGGTAATGTTTAAGGAAGCATTCACACAAAAGTCTGTTCAACAAAGTAGCAGTTCTTGAGAACAAGCTGTTTTGGGTGGACTTCCTCCTTAAAATAGGAATACAAAGGAAATGAGGATGATTAGACTCTGTAGATGTAGCATGATATGTGTTAGTTGTAAATGTCTGAACTGGTGGTAATAAAGAAAAGATCTCTGCTGAATGGTTGCCATGGAAATAATGATAAAGCAGTGACAGTTTTATCACATTGTATCAAACTGATGTCTATCAAAAGATTCAAACAACAAAATCAAAAACACAAATAATGAATATGATTCGATCTTTATAATTTGCCTTTCACTATTCAGATTGATTTAAAAACCTTAAAATATGCCTGCAGAGTGAATTGATGACATGACTCATGACTGAAAAAGACATTTCTCACTTCTATCAGAGCTCAGTACTCAAGTCAAAATAAAGGCCATGATTATAAACGCTTAATGTTGATTATCTAAACAGGCAAGCCCTTCCCATTCAATAAACTTGAAATCAGAATAAGTTAATACATTTCTCTGTTTTTCTTTCTTTAACTTTGTTTGAGTTTTTTAATTTCTGTTTCTTCATTTTTTTTTTTTTGGTATTTTATTGTTTCTGTTTTTTGTCTTCTGTTTGTTTTTTTTTTTTTTTTTTTTTACTTCTGTTTGTTTTTGGCTTCTGTGTTCTAGGGTTTTTTTTTCAAGGAGCTTGCATTTTTTAATTTTATAGGGCTTCTTTTTTTTTTTAAACCTTCTGTTTTTTCACTTTTGATTTCCTTGTTAACTTCTGTTTTCATTTTGCTTTTGTGCATCTACTTTTTTTCCAGGGTCTTCTTGTTTTTTCTTTTGGCTACTTTTGTTGTTTGGTGGTAGGAAGGAGTCTTTTTTTTGTGCTTTTTGGGGTTTTTTTTTGCTTTTTGTTTCTTCTTTCTTCTTTGGTGGTTCTGTTACTATATCTGATTTATAATATTAGTAACTGCAAAATAACATTTAACTTCTACTACATAAAAACACAGGAGTTAAATCAGTACATGAATAATGCACAGTTGATCAAAATCTTTGCAACAAAAACAGTAATCACTGATAACTCCTAGAGATTCTTCAAAATAGAACAATGTAAATATTAAGCAAAAAAACTTTAGTTAAATCTAGTAACAAGTTGGTTCTTCCCTGAAGGTTACAAAATGCAAATTATTGACTTACGTCGACAAGGTTCTTGGGTTTTCATGGTGTCCACTAACTTCTGGATGCTTTCCTTCAAATTACACTTGAATTGTTGTCCAAAAATTCCCAGAGGGTTCACTCCATAATTATTTTCACAAGCAATGTAGCACATTTGAAGTTTGGGGGCATCTGTCCCACAAACAAATGCTCCATTATCAATGGGTGGTAAATCACATTTTGTCTCTGCAAGAAAAAATAGATACATTAAAAACAAAATGAAATTCTCAGTAAATTATATTGCTTGTTAGCTTGCTATTTTCTCGGTCTTTTCATCATTTTTCAATGTGTGCAGTCACAGAGATTTATGTAGACCCCATTCATCACCTGTTCTGAACATAGAAAACCAAACTTTAATTGCAGTATGATGACAAAATGGAAATGACATCAAAGAAGTCAGGTGCATCAGAAAGTTAACTAGTGTTTGCTTCCAGCTGTTAAATGAAGAAGCACATGACCTCCCAATTGTATCTGGTTTTGCACTCTTGGGAAAGATCTGTAATACATGCAGTTATATAAACAACTGTCCCAAAGAAAATTTGGGCAGTCTCTCACACACTGCAGACAGAATGTAAGATCCATGTTTCAAGGACATGGGGCCATACACACACATACACACTAGCTAAGAGTAATTGATGAAAGCAGGTATTGAATAAATGTAATGATAAATATAAAAGATTCAAGTTCTGTGTTCTCATTAACTGGCACACCCATATCATTACATAATCATTCATAACCGTCACCTCTCTACCTCATCCTAAGTATGCCATCATGACTAGCATTTTATAAACTATTCATGTAATCTTCACTGATGATATCTATGTGGCTCTATGTCTTATTTGGAAAATCAAAACATGAGATGAGGTGCTTTTTTAAAAAAAAAATATTATTAATTCTAATATTTCTTTCATCTTTTTAGCATTATCTTATTAATGATTTTATTGCAATGCCAAGGTTATTTTATTATTTTATTCCTCTACCTCAGTTGAGATTATAGAGTCCACAAACCCGTGCTGCAGTTAAGGGTGAACACCATAATCTATAGCTTTCAATATTTTCCATGTATCCCTCATGAAACATATATTATAGAATGTGCTTCACCATGGCTATATCTGGTTTTGAATTCCGAATTCAATGTAATCAAGACTGTCACTCCCATGTTGGCCTGTGCAGCCAGAACAGATGCTGCAACCCCATCAGCAGCTGAGGCACAGCTCTTTGGACACAGATCAAGGTTTTTCAAGACCAATAGATGCCACACATATAATCTCAAAAAATTTACAGGAATAGAAGAAATTTATGTAACTTATTTTAACAAATGATAGTATTTTTTTTATATCTTTTTCTTTTTTTCAGGATGCATAGCTACAAAATCCGCTCTTGATCTTAAAGAAAAATATTCCTACAAAACTAAATTCAAAATTAGTGTCATTCTAAAAAATAAGTTCATCACATAAAAACAAATAGCAATTCTAAAACGATCCTGACTAACCTCCACAAATTTTAATAGTTTTTAACTATTTTCTATCATAAATTATAAAAAGCCTTAATTTGTCTAAAAGGTGAACATAACTTGAAAATAGATCTTTGTAGGGTTTTTGTTATTTGATGAATAATCAAGTGTCATTAGTTTTATTATTATAGCAATATCTTCAAAACAATATGGTCATAATAGAAGGTAGGGAGAGGGAGAATAAAGGTAAAGCTGTAAGAGCTAGAGAGACAAGGAGGACAAGATAGAAGAGAAAAGAAAAAATAGATAGAGTAAAGGTAAAAGAGTAAGAGATTGAGAAATAAGGAGGATAAAGAAGAAGAAGAAGAGAATGAGAGAGACATGAATAAAGTAAAAGCAGAAGTGTAAGAAAAAGATAAGCATAAAAATGCATGAGGGAGAGAGGGGGATATAGTGGAAAAATGAATAGAGTAAAGGCAAAAGGATAAAATAAAGAGATAAGGAGTGTAAGAATAGATGAGAGAGGGAGAGAGAAAGAGAGAGAGAGAGAAAAGGATAGAGTAAAGGTAGAATAGTAAGAGACAGAGAGATAAGTATGATGAAAAGTAAAAGAGAGAAAGGGAGATAGAAATGGATAGAATACATGTAGAAGGTAAGAGATAAAAAATAAGGATGATAAGGGTAGAAAAGAGAGAGATGTTATAAAAGTGGCTAAGGGGAGAAGAGATAGTGACAGAAAAAACTTAAGTAATCATAGAAAGGGAAGAAAGAATAAAGGCCCCTAAAGATAAAGACAGAAGGAGAAGATAAAACACAGAATAGATAGTGAAAAGAGGAAACAGTGAAAGTAAAAGAAATAGCGAAAGGAAAGTTGATAGAAAGAAGAGTTGAGGTAAAAGGGATAGAGAGGAGGAGGAATAGAGAAAATATAAATGAGATAGTAAGAGGGGTGGGTAAAGGGGAGATAGAAAAGAGAGGGAGAGGAGTATATGTTAAAGGGGTGAGAAAGAAGAATAAAGGTAAAAGGGATAAAGACAGGGAGAGGATACAGAAAATGCACAAGAGATAGTAAGCCACCTTAAGGGATGACTGAAAAGAGAGGGAGAAAAAAAACGAAAATCAAAACAGAGAGAGAGAGAGAGAGAGAGAGGTAGATAGGAAAAGGATAGATAAAATGTACATGTATCACACTTTGTAGGAACAAAATTGTTTCATTTTCATTTCCCTCATGTCATATTGCACCAGTTCATTTTTCATTATTGTTACTAATCAAACACTAATTCTCAGGCACATTTGGTTCGAGAATCATACCAGATTATCTAAACCAACAGAGACTCCATAAGAATAATTTAATAATATGCCTTTGAACTACTAATTATGCACATCTTATATCTTTAAAGCACTAGGACCATAACAATCTTAAACAAATATTTTTCATCTGACAAGTTCCATTCTTTAGTGCCATTAGCTCAGACTTTTATGGTCAAGACCCATCTTGCTACATCCACAGGGTTAAATCACCTTCATTCCATACATATTCCTTTTAGACTCCCAGAATGCAACAATCTTAACCTCTTCTTAACCAGATTCTGCAATTTTGAGAAACTGTGAAATTGACAATAGAGCATGAATTGATTTAATTACATTTGATTGAATGTATGGCTGATATATCTTATAAATATAAGATATTGGAACAATTACAATTGAATAATTTTGTCTCTAACTGCATATGTAGAAGTTATACAACAGCTGGAATTAATTAAAAAATATAATTCTACAAAGGACAATATTGAAACATACAATACAAAAAAGGAATATAAAAAATGCAAATACTGTAACTATGAATATGAAATTGACAGAAAAAGTCTTTTCTGCTTTTGAAGAAATTTTCCATAACTGTAGAAGAAAAAAAATCATTTTCAATTTGTATGTAAAGTTAAAAAGAAAATAAGCAATATAGAAAAATTGGAAAAAGAATTGGTGATGTCTTTTTCTTAGGTTTCATTAGATTCTGGATAATATAGAGATGTTTTGTAACCAATCTGCCTCAACCAATTACACAGTCTACATGCCATTAATGTGTGCATAGTCCATATGGACAAAAGATCATGATTCTATTTCTTTAGGTCATGAGTGTATTCTCCTTTGTTGAAAATTCTTTATTTCTGCACATTTTACACATTTATGTACATATCTTTCTATATCAGGATAATACCCTAGCCACCATGCCTCCAATTTTAATCTCGTCTGTGTAGCCATTATTCCACAATGAACATTATCATGTACATTTTTTAAAATATCTTTTTTTACTGTTTCTGGTGATACTATCACACCTCCATTGCATATATTACCATTTTCCATCATTAATTTACACCTTATTTCTTTATAAGGTCTTTCAGCTTTAGAACAATTAGTTCCCCTGTTTCTTCTTATTCTACCATTGATCTTGCTTAATATCAGATCATGTAGAGTTTCTGATATCAATCTACAGAGATGATATGTCATTAATTTTATTACCCACCTTAGAATTCTGGAAGATATAACTTTTGATAATTCCTTTCTTGGGTTAAAAATAAACTGTAGAGGTTTATAATCTGTTGAGATGTTGAGTGTTTCCCCATGCGTGTATTGAAATAAGGACAAACACATACGTAGGGAAAAATACTGGTATATCTGAAGAGGTATTTACAACAGAGAAATTGGTAGTCAAACGAACGCAGGTTAGTCAGTAACAATCAGAAAGAGTATAAAGTCCAACTGTATCTTTCGGTAGAGAGACGGAAGTGTGATGGTCACCTGATCTCCCAGAACTCTATAGAACTGTCCTATTAGTAGTAGAGAGATCAGTCCATTCTGATGAGAAGGTGGGTGGCCCCAACATAATCTGACTTTAATAGGTACACCTTAACTAATAAAAATTGTTGTGCTCTGTCTGTAGTCCAGACAATGGTGAATGCCTCTTTTTCTATATTTGAATAATTTATTTTTGCTGCTGTCAATCTTTTTGAAAGGTATATTATTGGATGGCGTTCTTATGATAAAATTGCTGACTCAGCTCACTCACTTGCATCTGTAGTTAACATAAGCTCCTTTATGGAATCAAAGATTTTTATACTTGTTTTTTTGCAAGTATCTTTTTTAAATCCTCAAATTCTAAGCTTTGCCTTTGAGTCCATTTGAACTCACTATTTTTTTTATGCAGTTCAGTAAATGGTTCTATTAAGTCACTGCATTTTGGTAGGTATCTATTATAAAAATTAACCAATCCTAAAAAGGATTCTAATTATTTTTTATTAGTAGGTATAGATACCACTGAAATTTTCTTAATTAACCTTGGATCTGATGCAATACCATCTTCTGAAATCTGTTATCCTAAATATGATATCACAATTAAATTCACATTTGTCTTTGTTTATTGTGATCCCAGCAATTTTAACTTGTTTGACACATATTGTATTTTTTGTTTTAATTTATCTTTAGTAGTGGCACTGAGGCAAATATCATCTTGATAAATAATCATGTTACTAATTTCATCAGTTGACATATTTTCCATTGCTCTCTGAAAAATGGCACTTGCTGTTTTCATCCATCTTAATAATCCTTTGGGGGTGTTTATTGTGGCAATTTCTTTGAATTTATCATCAATCTGTATTTGCTTATAGGCAGACTTTAAATCAATTATTTATACCCCTTTAACACTCCCATTTTTATTTTTTCTGATTTTACTCTATTTTTCTCACTAATAAAATGTTGCTAGCCTCTCACTATTCTTTTGATATTTTCATTCTCAGAAGAATGACATTACTTAGTATCACCAGTTCAGACCTTCACATCTAGGACTTACTATGTCTACTGCATGGATGAGAAACTTGGACATTATCTGTTTGTCTTGAAAGATGACTGGATGGAACATATACAAATCTGCTTAGAAAAATCAAGAACATCAGTTGGAGATCCCATGCAATGCTTAACACAATTTATGGAGAACTGAGATCAATCTCTCTTAAGCTCAAACAAAAACGATTGCAGTTTACCTGCCACTACCACCCAGCAGACAGGGAGGTCATCTCATCCTTACTTCTATGGCATCCTTCTGGATGTGCCTTCTCACGAAAGTTGACTTTCCCAGACACCATGACTCAGGGTTGGACATTGAGGATCTGGGGACAGCAATGCATGACCGAGCAGTGTGGAAAGGAACTGTTAATGGAGTTCTGACCAACCACAGGAAGGTCGAAGGATGAGGATGATAATGATGATGATGTCATAGACAGAGGATAAAATCGGCCTCTTTCCCTTTATATTCCATTGGTAAGGAGTGGTTCCACATAGATAGCTTTTTCCCAAGAACTGTTACATTGTAGAACGGATTCTCAAAGAGGAAGCTTCTATGATCACTATGATTTCAAAATCTTCAAGTTTAGAGTCCACCATTATCTATTCTTCCTATCCTAATCATATGCACTTTTTACTTTCTCTTCTTATACCTTTACAACAACCTCATTCAGAAACCATCAATGGATCTTGAGCCTTGTATTGGGTAAATAATTGTATAAAACAATATGCCAGACAGGGATAATCCTTGGAATGTCTATGACACATTCTCAATGTCAGATAGTGAGACACTATGATCTCTGTAATGGAATTGGAATGAATAAGATTCTTTAGCTTACATCTCCTCCTCAGCCAGTAATGCCTGCTATGTCTGGTGCATGTTCATCCAATGAAGTATGGCCACATACCAAAAGATGTTATATATGGTAAACTGACCTCAGAACAATGTACAACAGGCCCCTTTACATTATGCTTTAAAAATATATGCAATTGCAACGTGAAATTCAGAGAATGATCCAGATAACTAGGAATAAATTTCAGCAACTGTGACAGACTGTTCAAGAAGGGATCAAGAGAGGCAAGTTTAAGTTCAATTATCAAATGGAGAAGTGCTACTATTGTCTTAAAAGATAGACTGTTGTCAATATAAGTATATACTAAGAGGATGTATGAGTGGCACAACAATTAGAGACATGGATAATGGAATCAGTAAACAGGGTTCAAATTCCAGCTTGGGTTTTCCTGTTCACTTTGTACTAATGCCCTTGAGAATGGGAAGAATCCCCCAGCTATAGTTAAAATAGTAGAGCAAACTAGATTCTTTAGCTGTGATAGAACAAACTGTTCATAAAGACAATTCAAAACTGTGAAGGAAGCAATAGGAAACCACTCCACTACCTTTCCCAAGAATAGTCATAAAAATTCAGAGATATTAAAAGAAAGAAACTGGGGAGATCCATGATCGTCTATATCCTGAAAGGAAATAACATTTAAAAAATGAGTCAAGAAGGCTCATATAAAAATGCATCAAAGTAGTGTGAATCGTTAGAATTACACTCTTTTTCTCTGAACATGAACATCTATAAAACAAAAACATGCAATTTTCTCTTTGAAGCCTTACCTTGAATAATTGTCACTGTAAAATTACAAGTAGCATTGTTCCCAGCTTTATCAAATGCCGTATAATTAACCATGGTTGTTCCTGCAGCAAAATCTGTTCCAACTTTATGAGATGAAATCACCTCTCGTATTTCTGTATTGTCCTCTGCGATAGGCTGTGGCCAGAGTACCCGTTCTGTGTACTGGTCTGTCTTGATGACGATATTATGAGGACAGTATGTGAACTGTGGGGCCTCTTTATCTGCAAATGAACAATAAAGGTGATAAAATAAATAAATCTTATGCTGATGAATATAAGATCCCAAGGTTGCTTAAAATCTATATTGATTACAAAAGTATTAGATTTCAAATTTTGAAAAAATTTGAAAATTTGTTAATTTTTTAAAATTATGAATTATAAAGGAAAATAGCCTTATTCTACCAATAATGAATACTTTAATTCTTGACGCCAAACAATCCCTTATTTCTTGATTTTAGTACATTTCTATATTAAAATAATTCCTAACAAATTTCACAATAAAATAATTTGCAATGTATTTCTATAATACATCATTAGCAATGCATTAATGGATATAGTGGTCTTATTTTACTAATACTACTTGTCTTAGTTCCTGATTTAATACCTTTCTTAATGATTTTCAATGTATTTCTATATTAAGACAACTTGCAATTTAATTTTATAATAAAATAATTAGCAATATATTTACCTACTAACTCTTAAGAAGAGAATTTGAACAAATTCTGCATGTGTTCAGTAATGATGGAACGTTACTAGCACGGTTTTGGGGGTATTGAATGTGGATGAGAATAAGGAAAATATAACAAAGCAGTTAATATTGATTCTAAAAGAGGAATTTACAGAGTGCAGGGTTGATGGGACAAGTATGTGAGATTCAAAGAAGAGTACATTGAAAAGAACTAAGGTACAATTACTTAAGTAGGCACTTTTCCCATTAATATGAACTCACAAGTTTCTTTCAAGAAATACCCCTTATAAACCTGCCAAGAGGTAGTCTACCTAATGGCTGAGATAACAGGTACTACTGGTGCCTGTGATTAACATTCAATACCCTCAAAACCATGCTAGTAACGTTCCATCATTACTGAGCAGATGCGGAATTTGCTCCTGTCATGATGAATGTGTGCAAACTCAATAAAGTTACTTGACTTGAATGTCTTTTCAGACTCAAGTTCATTGTAGACCTCAAGTGAAACTCATATATACAACCATCACAAATGATGGGAAAATGGTACCAATCCAGAAAGTACCTGACTCTTGCTACTATGCTTTATCTTTACCATAATCAGCTCAGACCAAAAAGGAAGTATTGCTGCTATATCTGGGCTGGAGTTGCCCAATTGTTACTTTTCAGCCTTGACAGGGTTAAAGGTATTTATATGACATTGAGGGTGATGAATTAATTTTATCCCTAACAACCACACTTTCCTACATATGAAATATTCCAAGCCTATCACTATTCTATTTTTACTTACATAGCAAAATGTTCAGATGAGCTACATTCTTTAATTCCACCATATTAGACCTTCACAGCTAGGACCTGCCATGCCAGATAACAAAGGTTGAATCGTCCCCATTTCCTTTGTATTCCATTAGTCAGGAGGAAGTTTCACTCAGACAGCCTTTTCCCCAAGAACAGCTGATTTGTGGAAAAGGCTTCTGAGACTTTTAAAGTCTAGTGTGAACTGTTATCTATCCTACATATCCTCATAATCTACACTTACTTCCTTCTCACATATCAATAAAACATCCTCATTCAGTTACCCTATACCTTGAGTGGCTTTTGGGCCTTTTACTGGGTGAACATTTTATTAAAAAATGCTAAATAGCAGGTTTTCATTGAGAACAGAGCTAGACTGTTGAGATATTGTTACAATATAATCCTTCTACTTTCATTTTTCTCATGTCGACCTTATGCCATACTTAGCTAAATATAATAAATATCCCTAAATCTGGCAATAGGAAGTAGATGAGAGAAAAACATTAAAATTATATAGATTATTCAAATTCAGATGGAAAATAATCATAGAGGATATTTAATGCAAATCTTGTCAGAAACTACAACTTTATTCCTACTTTATACTTTTACTTTAATACTCAGGGGATATTTAACTTGCTCTATTGTGATAAAAGGTAAATTTAAGATGAAGTAAAGAATATATAGAAAAATTCATATAATTTTTGTATAGAGATGAAGATGTCATTTTTGTGCAAAAAAGAGCCTCTAAAGATACAGTAATGTCAGTTATCACATTTTTAATTTTGGCTCAAAGAAAGCCCTCAAAAAAGTAGACTACATTATAAGTATTCATCATTTTCTTTGGATAAACCCACTTTATTTTTCTCATCATAACTTTTTTTATTCATTTTATTTTCTTATATCAAATCACCATATTTTCAAAATTTTTAACACATTTCTTATGTAAAAATTTTATTGACTTGTTCAGATATATATTTTACTATAGAAATGACATCATTTTTATGCAAAAAAGAGGCTTCAGTGATAGAAGTTTGAATTATCACATTTCCTTTTTTGGATCAGTGTGAGCCTTCAAAAAAACAAAGACTCTAAATTTTGTGACACTCTTGAAGACATTCTTCTTAAGAAAAATTGAGCAATCAAATCTATTTAAATCTTAATATCTTTTCCCTCTTAAATGAAAATTAACTAAATATAAATTTTTAACAAATTTTAACTTAAAAAGTAATTCTAAATTTTTAGGCCCAGTTTTGTGATGAGTATTTTCTATAAATTTTGGTAACTCATCTTAGGAAAACTATCATTGGTAAAAATTTTGTACAGTTTACAACTTACAGATTCCTCATTTTCCTCATTTTCCATATTTTCTGACTTTGAATGATATCTATAAAATTCCCATAAATATTTTATTCCCTTTCACTTTATTACCAGCATTCTTTAAAATAACTACAGAGCTTGCATTATTGCCAATCAATGTTAACTTTTGCTGTATTATGGCTACTACTGTTACTGATAAATACACATATAAACATAATGTCACATATCAAAACTCACATGCACAAAAGAAGGAAAAATCTTTCAACATACACATACAAATAAAAAATGATTTCACATTTGAATTGTCAAAAGAATTGATGATATTTCATTTTTTCATTCAAGGAACTTTTCTTAAACATCTAAAAAAAGTAAATTTCAATTTGTGCAAGTGTTTAATTTTTCTTTTATTTAACAATTTATCTTCTAAAATTAACCAAAAATGCTGCAGAATTAAAGTCATAAAAGACTGTTAAAGACCATCCTTGTGGGTTGGCGCTAGAGAATCACAAACAAAGAATTATACCAAATAACAGAAACCATTTGAGGACCTTCAACAACAGCAACACCTAAAATGGATAGCACATGTAACTTGAAGAGAAAATAATGATATAATCAAGATGTTGACATTCCACATGACTTCAAACAAAAGGTTAGGAAGGAAACACTTATCAATACCAGAAACTAACAAAATAACTGTGAATTTGAGAAACATATTTTCCTGAAAAGCTGTTTGAAAAGAAAGATTTTATAAATTTCAACTGAAGGTAACACTGGCTATTTGGCCAATGAATGCCAAATATTTTCTTAGAAGGAAGTGGCTAATAATCACTACTAAACAAAAATGACAGTGGAAAGATTTGAATAATGTGTATAATGATTAGATTTGTGCCTCCATCTAGCCCATTGTAACATATTGAGTAAAGCATTGTACCTGAAAGATGAGCCCCTAACATATGAAATGCAAGTTTAAATTTTATTGTAAACTGCTTCTTTGTGCTACTATCATTCAGTCTAAAAAGTTTGTGATCATGAGTAACAATAAAACATAAAAAATAGAAATACTGCAAGAGATAAACCAATAGGGAAAGAATTCTGTACTTTTTCTTATTCTATGCTATTCATTACTCTTCTCTTGATTGGTTTATGCAATATGTTCAGAAAATCAGAAACTTTCTTTAAAATACTGTCATCCAGAAAGATCAACCTTTGCAGAAAAGAAAAAGAAGCAAATAAAACTAGCAATTCAGTCTCTTTGCACTCTTATCATTATGTGAATAGAATTAAAAATACTATTACCAAAGACTTATCTATCATAAAGTCAAAGTATTTTAGGTAGGATAGAAATATCCTTTTCCATGGAAGAAAATTACCCAACAATGGTGTACAAAAATTTGTATTATAATTTGAATCATAAGGCATATTAACCAAAGTAACTGTTTCTTACCTTCAACAATGACATTAAACTTGCAAGCAATCTCCTGGTTCCAGCGATCGATAGCTGTGAAAATCACCTTCTGTGTGGCCGACTGGTCAGTCCAATTGAAAGTGAGTCCATCTTTGTTAAATGGAACATTAGATTCTAACAGGATTCTATTGCCCAAGTGATCGATGGCTGTCCAGGTAATAGGGAGGTGCACAGCATTAGCCTGAGGGGGTAAACTCAGCCTTATCGTTGTACCTTCAGGACAATCAGTAAAATAAGGAAGACCTGTAGAAACAAAAAAAGAAAAATTAAATATTTGTTTAGTGTAATGGATGACAGGTTAGAATGAGAAATTTCAGAGTTTGAATTCCAGTTGAGTTTCTTATATATACTTACATGCAAATATCATTGAGAAAGTTATGAATCCATGACTTCACCCCCCCCCACACACACCCTGGCAGCTATGGATAATTAGCAAGTTAGACTGGATTCTATAGCCTTGGTTGGCCACCAGTCTAAAAGGAAAACTCTGTATTCAAACAAGATTAAAGAGATGATTTCTTTTTTTGAGGTTTTGTTTCTATTTTTTTAATCATTTCACTCCAAGCCAGGGTGTTATTGGGAATGAAAGAAAATGAGATGATGTTGGAGAGGAGAAAGAACAATAACAGAACAGGATTTAGAAAAAATGAAGACGGTGGTTAATGTTGCCTGAAACCTTTTGAAGATAATAGGTAGCAGGGAAGCAAAAGATCAGAAGAGAGTTCCACAAGCAAGAAGTGTGAGAAAAAAATGTTAGAGTTGAGATGCCAGATCAGGATTGATTATATCACAGATCCTTCTTTGGATTTTGTCAAGAATCTTGAGATATATAGCAGGAGCATCAGACCAAGTGTAGTAACAATATTCAATGTATGGACAAATGGGAGATTTATAAATTTGCAGGAAAAATTGTCTAGCACTATATAGTGAACCAACTTTCCTAGGCAGCAGGACTTGTAATTGATTCCATATAATCATTCCACTTTATATTAATAGAACACATTTAAATCAAGAAGGTGCAATGAATTGTTCTACTCAAGATTAATATCACTCATACTGATAGAAGGCAAAAATAGTTCTTAAGATGGCGTTTAATTTTCAAGGCATTAAAATTTCCAGGCCATTTCTTGCCCCAATTAACAACTGATTTGAAGTCATATATGAGATCAGTTGACAGTTTTACTTTATTAAACCTCTTGAACTTCTTATTAAGACAAGAGTAAATAGTTACGTCATCTGCATAAGTACCAAGTTGAAAACAGATGATATCAAAAAGGTGATGAAGATGAAGATACAATGTAGGTCCAAGAATAGAGTCCTTATATTAATGTCGAGAATATAGAAAAGTGGCTGTTCAGTACAACCTTCATTACATGATTTGTTAAGAAAAATTGGATCAAAACAAAAAAGTCATCTGGAAACATCGTATAAGTAAACATTCAGCTGTCAAATGCCTTTGAAATATCTAAAGCCACAGCTCAAGCCTTGATAAGTGCCACAAAACTGATTAAGCTTATAAAGGTAGAAAAGAAAATCTCATGCCATTACTCACCGATATTGGCTTTTTGATTTCTTGTAGAAACAATTCGTTCCGCAGTTGTGGGTTTTATTGTGGTTGTTGTCGTTGCTATTGTTGTTGTGGATGTTGATGTTGTTGTTGGTTCTGTGGTTGTAGTTGTTATAGTTTCTGTGAAAATGAAGAACAAAATGAAAAGATTTTTTTATAGTGTAAATAAGAAAAGAAGTTCAATTTAAAACATTTTTAAGATGATTAAAAAAAAATAAAAGTCAAAAGTTAACTCCAAAACAGAAATAGTTATCATATAATCTTATTCAGCCAATAATACTTGCATTCTTTCCTTTCTTTCTGATTTTCTATGTAATATAAGTAAATATTATAATAAAACTTTTACCTTTCTATAGTAAAATCATTTTCAATGCATTTCTATACTGAAATAATTTGCAGTCTATTCACGTTATATGAATTGGACTCTCATCATCTTCGACATGGAGAGAGAGCAGTTCAGAATTGAACAGCAAGACCATCCACACATATGATTTAGCTCCAGTGGTGATGGTTTGTGCAACACCAACCACACTTTTCAGAAAAAACAATAATAAAGTGAATTGGTGCACATCACATTTTTTCTTTCTCCCTCCCCACATATGTTTGGTTAACATCCTTGCCAACCTGGTGATACTGGCTGTACCATCTGTAATTCAGGGAATATTAGGCTAAAGAGAAAAAAAATGTCTGAATTTTGATGCTGCATCTCAAAGTTTGAAAAACCAAGAAGTCTTTTTAAGTCTTACCTTTGCATACTCCATCAATCATTTCTGCTGTGAGACTTTTGCAAACACATCCTTTGGCTGCCAGGGTATTCTGAGTTCCTGAACCTTCTGGACAAGGAATACAGGTACCATTTCCATGTTCTGGCTTATAGGTGTCTTTTGGGCACACTAGAAATACACATAAAATGTGATATTTATTGAGGTCAGTAATCAATGAAAAAAAATGTAAACAGAAGACCAAAAATGGTGTAGTTTTGCTTGTGAAAATCTGTTGGTTTATATTGTTCTTTAAAATAGAATGTTGTGTCTGGAAATTGAAATATAAAAAATAAAAACCTCCCTAAAAAGACAAGAGGTATGCAGTTCAAATATGAATCTATATATCTATATCAGTTTTCTTCTGTTGTGTAGGTTGCTTACTTCCCACTTGAGATTATCATTTGTTTACTCACTAATTTAGGTATAATTGATATGTTTAGGCATATGTATATATATATATATATATATATATATATATAAAAGTTGAGAGCAAAACTTAATAGTTCGCAACTGTGTATTAATTCTTCAATTTTGTCAAAGGAGGTTCAAAGACGTCTAAGAGATTATATACATATTTATATATATATATATATCAGGACCTCTTTTCAGAAGACTAAAAATGCCAGAATGTCACCAATAAATTTTTGCCTACCATTTTGAAAATATACAGTTTTGATAATATATATATATTTATATATATATATATATATATATATATATATATATATATATATATATATGTCAACAAACAGCATTTAGAAAAAAATATGACAAACTGGAAAAGTTCTTGCGACATGTTTCATCCTATGAAATCCTAGTGGATGAAGCGCGCCACAAAAAATTTTCCATTTTGTCATATTTTTCAAAAATTATATATTGTTTGTGTGTATGTCTATATATATATATATATATATATATATATATATATATATATATATATATATATATATATATATGTAGGTATCGTAGGTCAATGAAAGAAAATCAAGAGATAAAAAATAATAATGATAATAAAAATAATAATATTTCTTGTATACTATTAGGCCTTTAGTTCAAATAGAAGTATGATGAGAAAAGATGATAAAAATCAGAATTTTGGAACACAACTGTGGCTGTTCTCAATAAGAAATAAAAGAAGTTGTACATTTTGGGGATATTTTTTTTGTTTTGGCACAT